AAACAGCCAGCAGCCCGGCTAAGCCACCGCGCAGGGCTCGGGGGGGCTGGCCCTACAGTCCCGGGTACGCGGTTCTTCCCAGTTTCTTTTCTAAGATGCAAAATTTGTAGGGGACAGAAAGGGTATGGTGGGATCAGAGCCCTGCTCCTTCGAAAGGGTTTCGCCATTTGGGGTGGAGATCCACAGACATTAAACGAGGCACGAAGCCCAGGTAAACGAGCTATGGTGGGGGATGTCAGAAGCACAGGACCCTGCAGATCCGTGATCGTCCTGGTGACACGCAGCAGATCAGCACATCAGTAACATCAACTCCGTCTGGCAGCACTGCAGCTCGCTGCAGCCAGCCCAGCTAAAACCCCTTCCCACATCCCAGAATACAGAATCATAGAAATGGTTTGGGTTGGAAGGGACCTCCAAGATCATCTAGTTCCAACCCCCCTGCCATGGGCAGGGACACCCTCCACTACACCAGGTTGCCCAAAGCCTCATCCAATCTGGCCTGGAACACTTCCAGGGATGGGGCATCTACAACTTCTCTGGGCAACCTGTTCCAGTGCCTCACCACCCTCTGAGAGAAAAATTTCTTCCTTATATCTAATCTAAATCTCCCTTCTTTCAGTTTAAAGCCATTTCCCCTTGTCCTATCACTACATGCCCTTGTAAAAAGTCCCTTTCCAGCTTTCCTGGAGGAAAAACCCACCAGACTGGCCGTGCAGTTCTCTGGCCGCTGGAAATTGCATTTCCCATGCAGAGATGCTCCAGCCCAAGCAACGTCCCAGAGCTGGGATGTGTGGACCTGGCAGGCGCCCACAGCCCGCCTGGCAGCACTGCCCCATAATACCCTGTCTCCGAGTCTCCAAAACATGCCACACCGCTTGTCACAGAGCGGATGTGGCATGTTTTGGATGGACACATCTCCATGGCCCACGTGGGGCTCCAGGGAGATGGGCCCAACCCCGGATGGGGTGCGGGGAAGGGAGAGGAGCTGTCGTGCAGAGACTCAGGTTACACCGAGTTCAGGTTGGGTAAATAAAGGTGAAGGGAAATGACAAACCCTGGTCGCTGTGTTTTCAGGGGATTGTTTTTTGTTTTTCAGGAACGGGTTTATTTGGCGGTAAACAAATCCCACCTTACGGAGGAGCCGGCGGTGCTGTCGCCAAGAGCCAGAAAATGAAACCGACTGACTCAGAGTTTCAGTGCGAGGCAGGGTAAACACTGCCAGAACAAAAGAGGAAATAAGTCTATCAAAAAATCCCTGTTTTTACTTACCCCCGGTGCTATTTTTAGTAACACAAGGCAGGAGAAAACACAGTTTCCACCCCCTGCCCCCCAGGTGCTATCCCACAGCACCAACTGGGACCATCTCTGGTCTCCCACTACAAAGGAAGAGGATCTGGATCAAGATGTGTCTTGTGAACCAGCAGCGGAGAGGAGCAGAGTGGTTTGGAGCTTCTCTGGGATCTTCGGGACCATTGGGGCTGTGTCGGGGGCTCACGAGCTGCTGTGAACCCCGAGGCTGCACGGGAGGACCTGCTCCACTTCTGCTGCAGGAAGCAGCAACCCTGAGGTCCTCAGTGCCCGGCGCACCCTCACATCTAGCCCAGACCTGCCCCAACAGCCCCTCGCCTGGATCCACACCATAGACAACATCAACCAGACCCCAGCCAGTCTCAAACATGCAACATGTGCGTTTCTGTGCGAGATCCTTTGTTTCTCACCGTTCCTATCTCCCGAGGAGCAGCTGTGCCATGGTAAAAACTGGCAGGTCTCATCGAAGTTATCCATCAGACCTTGTTACAACTCAGTTAAATAGCCCTGCTGCAGACTGTAAGAATGACAGATGCAACCTGGCACCATCCCTTTCGAGCTCAGGAGCCAGGCAGTGACTACACGAAGAGGTGCATCTGTTTGCACAGAGGGACATATCCAGCCTGGAAACAGCAACTGGCTCCAAAGGGAGAAGAAAACTCCAAGGAACCAGGAAGGGTCTCTGAAGATTTCAGCCTCGAGGGGAAGCTTGAATCCACCTCATGGTATAGAATCATTAAGGTTGGAAAGGACCTCTAAGATCATCAAATCCAACCATCAACCCAATATCACCATGCCCACTAAACCATGTCCTGAAGTGCTACATATACGCATTTTTTGAACCCTTCCAGGCATGGTGACTCCACCACTTCCCTGGGCAACCTGTTCCAATGTTTGACCAAAGTGGTAATTGCGATTCAAGTGTGGGATGAGCGGTATCTGCATTAATGGATTTGGGGCAGCTTCCACTGGGCAAGGCAGCCCCTTGTGAAACCTATTGCCTGGCAACGCCTCTGGGATCAAAGGCTGATTGACCCGGGACTGCATCATGCTGGCACAATCCTGCACAGCTTGTGCCCGAGAGCTGAGCTTCTAGACAGGTAAATGGAAAACTGCTGTCCCCAGAGGCATCTGCCCAGCACAGAGTCCTTCCCCTTACTCTGCTCTTTAGAACAAATATCACCCAAAAGAGAAGCCTTATTCCCAAACAGCCTCCCTGCAGAGCTAACGGGCAAACAGCCTTGGTTTTAAGATAGAAATTAATCTGTAAAAATTAAATCTGTAGAAATTAACCTGATTCTCTGGTCCAGATTCAGGACTGGGCTCAAGAAATCTGCTTTAATTCTGATGTTCGATGGTGTCCCACCAACAGACTCAGAGTTGCAGCCTTGCAGCAGGGGCTGGGGGCTGCAGGAAGGTTTTGCTCTGGTACTTGGCTGCCCAAGCTGAGACCTGTCCCATGTTTGCTAATCCTCCAAAGGGAGGCTGGGCCCAGCGCTCAGCAGGATGCCCGAGATGGGTGGGCACCTCAGCTCTGGCAAGGCATTTTCCTCTGCCCCACCAAATTTTTCATAAAAGATTTTTCTGGGCATCCTTTGAGGCCAGAACAAAGGAGTCACAAGGCAATTCCAGAGCACAGCCATCAGAAAGATGACTTTTTTTTTTTCCCTTTTAAAAATGGAAATGACATATTGATGGCAGATGCAGTTCAACAGAGAAGTCCAATACTCTGTCTGGAGATAGGAACTATATGGGCACCAGATGAAAGACAAACATGTTTACATGGTTTCGGTTGCTCTACAGAATGTATGAGAACCCAGGCTGAAACAGGCAGGTCACATTTTTCCCACTCATTTTGCAGGTGGTCTTGGAGATGAAGACACAGAGACGCTCCCAGCTGCATGACTAACGTGCTCGAGCAACTCTTTATCAGTTCATGGCCTGCTTCACACACAATGTCAAGTCCAGAGCTAAAACAAACAAGCGAGGACCAAACCTCACACCTCTCTAGGTACGTTACGTGAGTATTAAGCACACACAGACGGACAAGAAAGCCCAGGTAATCCGAGGAAGAGAACAGTTGCCAGTCTGACGCTGCAAACGGTTGAGTCAGAGCGGCTGGGCTTTCCACGCACGACCCTGGCACCTTGGACATCCTTGCAGAGACCTGCATCAAAGCTCTCGCCCTTTCCTGAGGAGTAATAAGCGGATCATCACCTTTCTCAACACAGTGCATTGGGATCTCAGCAGATGTGGTCCACGCAGGAGCTAAACGTGACCACAGAAACAATATTTTCGTCGTGTGGACCAGCATCTCTGCAGTGCAGGGGAAGCTCAGGTGCATGTGGCCGTGGTTACCTGCACACATGAGGACAGCCACGTCCCCGGCTTGTCCCGCAGATCTGAGCCTCGATGCATCCAAACCATTCTGGCAGCAGGTCTGGAGAGGGAGGCACTGCCACCCCCATCTTACAGATGGGAACTGAAGGAGGGCAAGGTTAATCTTCTGAAGTGTGAGCCCTGTTTCCTGAGCTCAGCTCAGCACCGTTGGTGCTGGGCCTCCCACCCCTCCTTCTGCAATGTTTGCTCCCTGTTGCATGACTCTTCACAAGCTAAGTTGCTCCTCCTTATCATCACAAACAACCAGGAGTATGAAGCTCCTGCCTTCGTCTACAATGTCCTAAAAACACCAGAAGTGCAAATTGCCCAGAAACAGCAGCGTCTTGTCCATGCCCTGAGCAATGGCTGATACAATGAGGGCTCAGAACGATGCTTGAGCAAATCCCCGAGCAGCAGATAAATCTCTGCTCCCTACCATGTCCAAAGACAAACAAACAGAGCAAGCGAGCCCTAAATGAAAACCAGGCTTAACACCTGATAACGAGAGCCTTCTCCCGCCCTGTAATCCCATGGGATTACATGTTGGTGGGAGCTGCATGGTTCTGCTTCCGGGGGAGTCCATGAGGCTGCTAAGAAGCATTCAGAGCTCCCACCTCCAAATTCCAGATGGACCCCCCTGAGTTCGGGAAGCGGATGGGTGCCAGTACTGCCCGTAAGTGTTTGCACGCGTACAGGAAGCGTGACTGTAAAAGCGCGTGGTTAGAGCTCAGGGCCTGATCCCCTCCCCGGTTTTCACATCAGCATCTCATTGACCTCAACAGGAAATCAGCATACGTAAACAACTGCTCGTATTTATTTATTTTCATACCTTGTAGACTTTGGTAAGGGAAGGACAGGCTATTTTATCTTCCAGTGCATTCATGTAGGACCTAGCACAAATGGTACTCTGAGATGGAGAGGAGTCCAGGCAATACCAGAGTATAAATACCATTATCAGGCCAATAAACCAGCTCTGAGCTGGATCTGAGCTCAAATACATAAACAGTTAGGAATAGTTTCTAATCTCCATTATTGACAGAGCTGCAGTGACTCAGCCTTATTTACGAGTTCACCTGCACAACAGGTTAAGAAGTCACCCGTGTTTAACAGCTTTCTGTGCAGCGGCGCTGCATAATTTGGGGATGAAACGAGAGCGGAGGATTTTCCCGGGTCCCTTCGGCCCCGGTCCTCGTTCCACCCATCGGTGTGAAGCACAACTACCGTCTGCTGGGCTCGGCACGCGCCAGGGACGGACTGAACCGCGTCCGAACGTCACTGAGCTGCGACTCGTCACCGCTGCCGTGCCACGGCGCACCGGGGACCCGGCTTCACCCCGCAGCCGGGGCGGCGAGACGGAATCCGAGTGCCTGAGACCAGGCGCCGCTCAGCAAGGCGTGTTCTGCTCCGAGTTTTAAACACCGACCCCAGTCCCGCAGCTCCCCCCACGCTACTTTCTCGACGCCTTTTGAGCCCCTCTTGCTGCCCGCCGCGCTAATCCGATGCCAAGCATCTCCCAAAACCACGGAGCATGTGCTCTCCCAGTTCAATTCTGCATAGCTTTATGGAGCTCATTTGTTATGCCAGTCTTGCAAAAAGCCCTGGAGGTACCAAAGCCCCATCTTTTCAAAGAAACACAGCAGGGGAGAAAAAAAAAAAAAAAAAAAAGGGTTGAAAACGCTTCCTCCCCTGAAGATCACAGCAAGCTTTTACCTGAATTGAGCTCTCGTGACAGCCTGCGCCCATTGTGTCCCCGGCGTCCCTGGGCCCTCGGCGGGTCACCGTCGTTCCCTGAGGCCATTGCAGAAAGATGCTTGGGAGAACCAGCTTTACCTGGGGCAAGGAGAGACAGTCAGTGACCAGGTTCTGAGTAGCCAGTTGGGCCACTGGAGCCTCGAGGCCCCTTGCCCTCTCCCACCTCCCAGACCAGCCTTAGGAAGCCCCTTTGGCTGACCCAAGTGCTCAGAGGAGCAGTGCTGCCTGCTTTTATCTCTGCCAGCAACCTGGCTCCTCCCTTCCCGGCACGTTCGCTCCCTGATTCCTGGCCACACCAAGTCCCTTGGATAGATTCCTCCTCTCTTCCTGACTTCTCATTAACGTGTTTGCAGACAGTCATATGCCAGAAGAGGAAAGTCACCCAACTCCCTGCTCCACTCCACCACCTCCCCACCCTCCCTGGGAACCTGCCAGCTATCCTCTGAGCTGCTCAGCAAGTGCCATGGGCTGCACTGGCTCTTGCTGAGCCTGGAAAACGGCAGCATCTGCAGCGGCTTCACGCTGGGGTGAAAGTGAAAATCACAGCACGAAGGGCTCCACGACTCCCCGGCTGCACCCGGAGCAGGCGTCTGGGAGCTGAGCCGCGGGGCTCCGTGGCTGCCCGAAATGCTGCTGCCCCCACCTGCGGCCACGACGGTTCAGAGCACGGCAGGAGCAAACCGACCCGCGACCACACCGAGCCGCCGCGGATCCCACGTGGAGCTGCAGCGACAGTGCCGCCTGCTCCCGGCGAGCACCTCCAACTTGTTCTCCACAACTTCTACAAGAGGCAAGCTCCCTGCTTTTCTGTATCCAGAAGCTCTAATTCGCCTTGTTCTTTATTCTGAGCTCCTCTCAGAATAAGAAAATCAAATGAGAACCAAATGCACAGCTCATACTGCCCCTGAACTTCGCAGGTATCCTAAACCCAGACCTGTGGTTTAGGTAAGGCTCGTTGCAGTCCTCAGCTCCTTTACCCCTCTGCTCGTTGCACCGACCTCACCGCCTGGTTTTTGCAGAGAAGGAAGCGAGGCCACGTGGTTACCGCCAGGGTTAGAGAGAGATCCCCGCAGCTCCTGGCCTGGTGTTGGCATGCCACTACATGTTCCCAGGCCAGGCTTCTACCGGGCTAAACTGGTGGGTTTTCTGATCTGCACCAGGTCTTAATTCATGAAGACATATCAACACCCAGAACTTTAAATTGTATCCTGGGCAAAACATTTAAAAAGCGCTGGTTATGGATAAATATGTCAAGTTTAGAAGTGTAACACATAGTTCAAGCTTATAACTTCACACTGAAGATTACTCAGAATTAAAAATAAACTGAGACCATAAACGGTTATAATGTAAAGTACAGTCTGCAGCCACGGTGGGGATGGGGGCCTGGAGATGCAAAGCTTATCAGCCTGGCAGCACTGCTCTCAGGGAGCCTGAGCCGCTGTGACACACAGATGGAGATGCTGTTTTTTCCTACACGCCTCCGAGGACAGGATTTCCCTTTTCCTCCCCAACGTCAAACATCCCCATTCAAGGAAAAGCTGAAAACACGATGAGGATCAGCAGTCGGGACCGAGGGTAAAGCTGGGAGCAGAGCCGGCTCCCACATGCCCAGATCAGCCAGGTTCCAGAGCTGCTCCTCTCCTTGCTCTTCCCTGCTCTGGGACGCGGTGGAGACAGCTCAGGGAGTGCTTGGTGCAGATGCATGTGTCCCCATCCTCTCCTCCATAGAGGAAACCCTCCTCGTGCTGCCTCTGCTGCCATCCCAGCCCCTCCTCTGGCACTTAGCAAGGCCACAGCTGCAGCCCACCTTGCACAGGAAGGCCTCGGTGCCTCTCAAGGGGAAGCAAGACCAGACCCAGAGCAGCTCTCTGGAGTTCATGGGTAAGCAAAGCAGTATGAATTTCTACCATACTTCGCGCTTCTACAACCCAAAGCTGTACTGAACGCTTCGGGGGATGCAGATGCATCCAGTCAAAGAGTCCAGCTGCCTCTGGAGCCTTTACAGTTTGGTCTATAGGTGCAACCAGTTGTGTTTCACATCAACCCACTGCCTCTGACCCAGACCTCAGCCACAAATAACATGGAATTTCTGATGCAGAACTAACTGCTCGGTATGAAAGATGGCTAGTGACCACAGGACTCCAGTGCCGGAGAAGCAGTTGACTCGTGATCCTTCACGTTTGCCGTCTGCCAAACCCTTAGGCAGCAGCAGGCTGGGGCTGTGGCCATCATTTAAGAGGAACTTTCATTTTCGGTTTCCTTCTCAATATAGTTTCTTGCAGTGCTTTCTTCTCTTGCAGCGCGGGACGCCGCAGCCCTTTTGCACACACGCACGTCTGGGACCGGCAGCTACATCCCCACCAGCACACTGCCGGTCCCCAGCCTGCTCCCTGGGGAGGACCCCGCAAACCAAGTGAACGTCCAAGACAGGTCACTGCCAGCCTCTGCTGCAGGACAAAGAGCCTGGGACCATCCTCTCCAGTATCAAGAGTCCTGCTGCCCACCTTCCTCTTCCTTCCCAGCCCAATGTCCTCCTTCGATTTGCCCCGTTCCCCCTTTGTTACGAGAATATCATGCTGGAAGAGAGCAGGGAGGGGTGTGAAGGAGGATATGACACCCATCTACTTAAAGACAGCCCAAGGCTGTGGAAATTGAAGGTTCCTCAGGACTCAAGACAGGGCTCAAAAGAGGGTTACTGCAGGATACTGGCAGCACTGTCTAATTCTCAGCAGCTGCTAAAAGATTCAGCTCCACCCTGACTTTTTGCTCTTGGAGGAGGCTGCAAAGGGTTAAAAGCAGCAGACAGCACCTAGGACGTGGATTTAGCAACACCACCAAGATGGCACGGGAGTCTTATCTTTACTGAGGAGCACATGCCATGCAGAGAGTCAGCCTTCCTGGAACCTGCCAGTCTTCCCTAATAAAAAAAAAGACCTTTGCCTCAACTGTTTCTCATTTCACCCTCATCTCCTTTGCTTAAAGGTCTCTGACACACTTCCTGTGTGCCTCCATGCATGCTCACCACTTCTCCAAACGAAAGTGCCTGGGTGCAGGGAAGATGGTGGGACTGTCCCAGGGAGGGAGGCAGATTTGCAAGCTGTGGGAGGGGAGAGGAGCAGCCGTAATCCCTATGAACAAGCCCAGCTATGATGCTCTGAACTTGACCCTTGACATGTTATGAAGTTCCTGTTCCAGGAAATGCATGGAGCATCGTCTGGGACGAGCTTTTCACAGGTCTGGCCCTGGGCCCGTGCACAGGAGCGATTCCATCGTGCAGTGTGCAGGGCAGAGCTAACCCTCTCCAAGACAGAGATCCCGTAGGGCTCCTACACCCCGCTGCCATCCCTGCACGGACCGCGTGGGATCAGCCCCGCTCCTCCCAGCCTGGCCTAGGACAGTAAACAGGTGAGTCTGCCCCGTTTGGTGTTTACCAGCCCAGCATGGCACCAGGGTCCAGCTGGCCCATGAGTCCCAGCAGACGCAGACATTGCAGCCAGCGTCGCCCCACAACCCCACGTGCCCACCTCCCGGAGGTCCCGGGCGCCGCTGGGCAGGAAGCCGTGCAGAGCCACGCATGCCATGCCTGGGGCTGAGGTCACAGCCCAGTGCGGGGTGAGACGGATGTCACCCCTGTCCTCGGCACGGCCCAACTCTTCCCACCGCTCGCACATTCCTGCCAGCCCCAAACCTCTCAGCCCCCTACACTGGGCGCTGGCACAGGGGATGCCAGCTGCGGCTGTCACCACCGCGGCCTCGCAAAGAGGCACCAAAAAAAACGTTGCTGGAGAAAGTATTACTAAAAGAGGCGATATTCCCTCTTTGGGGCAACAATCAGCTCGGAGCGAGACCTTTCAACCGCGGCCCAGCTATCGCACCC